AAAGTTTTCATCACTAAACTGTTAATGTGAGTTGAGTTTGAACAGCTGAAAGCAGCAGAAAATGGAAAAAGTGTGTAGAAAAAGCTGAAATAGGAAGTTAGAGGTTGCATCAAAAATGCCTGAAATTACCAAACAGGAATGAGCAGGAAAAAAATGCTGAAATTATTTATTTTTTTTAATGGATGCTGAAAAAGCAAAAAAGATCTAAAATTAATAGAAAGAGACAGAAAAGAGCATACAAAGTTGAAAGTATAAGAAAGAAGCACAAAAGGCAGAACGCTGGTGAAGATGCTCAGTCGTCCAGGACATGGTAAACTCAATAAAGTTCAAGACAAAAACAACTGGACTTTATTTGTAACAGAAGATAAACAAAAGGCAGAAATCAGAAATAAATAAATAATATAAAAATAGAAGAAAACATTATAAAGCAAAAAAAAAAAAAAAGAGCCTAAAAATAGAAGAAATGAATGCTAAAGTAAAAAAAAAAAACTAAAAAGTAGCTAAAAGAGGCAGAAAAGAGTGAATTTAACAGAAAGAAGTTGAAAAAGAACACAAAAGCTTAAATAATTAGAAAAGAAGCTGTACCAGAACAAAAGCTGAAATGAGCAGAAACAGGTTTTAAGCAACACAAAGACAGATCCATTCATTTTCAATGAGGAAAAACATGGCGGAAAAAGATATCCAAAAGTTACATTTGCACAAATACCAAGTCAGCAGAAACGTCCTGAATGAGCTTCATATGTGAATTTTTACGTGCCTCTCAAAAAACCGTATGAAAACGGATATTATTCGAAACCATTATGAATCTGAAAGCGTTTAAAGAAGCTGACTGGACTCAAACACAACATAACGCACCGCGCTCGTGCGCTGAAAGGACAGTTGTGTCACGTGACCCGTACCGGAAGCGTCGTTTGATGGCTGACGCGGTGCAGGTTCGTAACCAGTTTGTTGTTGTATAGTTTTTGTTTGTTTGTCGCTTGCCGTTTCTTTCTTCGTGTTTCGCAGTTTAACATTCAAACAGTTTCTGTGGGCGTTTTGAAAACAGACGCCACTTTGTTTACTGGGACGTGTTTTGAAGCGGAAGTGAAGTTTGACAGCTAGCAGGTGGATCCTCCGAGGGACAAACGTGTCGCTTGTCATCTTCGTTTGGGTTTTTACCACAAATACATACCACTATAGGGACAAATAAAGCACGCCAAAAACCAATAAATCGGTTTTTAGTAGTTTGTGACAAATCCTAAATATCAGCGGAAACGCTGGTTTAGTTACGTCACGTTTTATTCATTTTTTGTTTGTTTGTTTTGTTTTTGTGGCTGATGGAGTCTCTGTTTGGAAAAGCTTTTGACCCAGCAGCGAAAGTCAGCTGGTCTTCAACAAGAACTGAGGCGATCTGACAGAAGCAGGCGAGCACATTTGTTGGGGGTACAGAATTAAACACAGCATCAGTGACGTAATGGGGGGGGGGGGGGGGAATTAATGCAGCAGTGGCAATTAAACCCCACCCCCTCATTTTTTTTAACCCAGGATGAAGTTAGACTGAGTCTTCAATCAATTTGAATAAAACTGATTTAACAACTAAACTACTCCTGTTTGTTGTTTATATGTTTGTTAATAATTGAATCAATATTAATACTAGACCCATCTTTGATAATTTCCCATGTACTACAACAATAATGAAAAACATGAGAGTGAGGCTATTCTTTTAGTAGAAACACCACTTTCTGTTAATGTTTGTTTCACAGTGCAAGTACTGTGCTCAGTCATTGCGTATAACAACTTGTAAAATAATGTAGAAAGAACCAACATAGGGTAACAAACAAACAAACACCTATTACAAACATTTTTTTGTCACCTTGGGATCCAGACAGAAAATGCACAACTTGGAACATTTTTACCAACAATACCTGAAACACTTTAGTCAGTGAGCTAGGAATATGTGGTTTGTTTAAAGCCTGCTGGTTTGTTCAGATTTATGATATCTAGTTTATAGCCATTCACACATTTTGTCACGTTGCACTCGCTTCAAAGTATTTTCCTGCTATTTTATGTGATAGACCAACCCAGTTACTATGAAGTGAAAGGAAGGTGATAATATGAAGCATGGTTTTGGCAACATCATGATGTGGGGATGATTTTCTTCAGCAGAGATGGGGAGGCTGGTCAGAGTTGATGGGAAGATGGATGGAGCTAAATATTTGGCAATCCTGGAAGAAAACCAGTTAGTCAGCAAAAGGCTTGAGACTAGGGCGAAGGATCACATTCAAGCAGGATGACCTGAAGCATATTACCAGAGCTACAAAGGAGCACTTTGGATCAAAGCAAGTTCATGTGTTAGAACGGCCGAGTCAAAGTCCAGCAGGATCTTCAGTCAATCTGACTGAGCTTCAGCTGTTTCACAAAGAAGAATGGGCTAAAAGTTCAGTCTAGATGTGCAAAACTGATGGAGACATCCCCCTTCCCCCTCAAAAAAAAAAAAAAAGAATCAATAACCGCTGCAACAGGTGGTTCTTCAAAGTAATGCCTCGTGTGTGTGTGTGTGTGTGTGTGTGGTTGGGGGGGGGGGGGGGGGCCGTTTATAAATGCACCCAATATTTTTCAGAATTTTGTATGATATATCAAACAATTTGAAAACCATACATCATTTTCCCTCCATTTCAAAATTATGCAATCCGTTGTCTTGTTCATCACATAAAATCCCATTAAAATGCTTTTTAGTTTGTGAGAGCCTTAGTGCCGTGGGGGCAGTACAGATACCAGCAACTTCCACATGGACCGATCCTCAGCAAGAAGTGAGGACACAGAAAGGAAGCCCTGTTCAGCTACGCATGTCATCTGACCACTGATTAGGAGGACCCCCCCCCCCCCACACACACACACACACTCTTACGGGTTCCTTCAGCTTTTCCTTGAAGAGTCACGTTTGACAGAGTACCCTTAGCCCTCACTACTTGGGCAAACCACTTCAGTTTCTTCTTGATCTGCATTAGGAAGGAGTCGTGATCTCTGATGATGTCTACATTTGTAGTGTGGGAGGACCAGTGGACCTGAAGCTGGTGTCAGTGGCTGGTGTGGTCGTAACGTGGCAAAATGTGGAAATGCTTAAAGTAACTTACAAGTAGCTGAGGGCTATTTAGATATTAGTCCCACTCATAAGAGAACATTTTACCGTTCATGGAGTTCTTTCTGGATCATTATGTACAAAATTGTCCTCAGATACACAAACAAACACGTCAGGAGGTTTTTCCTCTCCACTTATCAGAGTCAGAGTTTCTTTATTGTCATTCGCACCTCATGTGGTACATGTGGTGGAGCGAAATTATGTACACGGGGTCCCAGTTACATCCAACAATAAAATGTCTAAGAAAAACAGTAATAACATCTAAGATATGAACTAAGAAAAACATCAACTAAATATACACTAAGCACTTTTTTTAACTGAGCACTTTTAAAAGTGCTCAGTTAGCCGATGGTTCTTACTCATGTAGACAATTTGATCCAGTTAATGTGTTCTGGTTTGGACCCTTGATATGAAGAAACGCTATTAAAAGACCGTCTTCAATAACTGCAGTGTTTGATAGTCTGTTAAGAATGACTTGAGCTTTCTTTATTGCAAGCGTAGGCATCTGAATTGATTTGGTGCATGAAATGTGATGTAACAGAAGATTTTATTTAGATTTTGGAAACTTGGGGCAGCTTGTGACTTTGGAGGATTCAAGTGTGGAAAATGTGGATTAGAGCTACACAAGATTAATGTCAAAATCATCAGTTGTGACCAAAAAGACTTCATCGATTCATGTGGCGAGCCCAGTAGTCCTGAATAAAATAAAAAAAAACTCAAGTGAAATTCAGCTGCTGCTGAAACCGTCATAAAGTGACCTTTGCTGTTTGTATTTTTACTGAGCAAACATGACGGCGCTGCTGGGACTCCAGATGTTGATCTCACTCATAAAATCAGTTTCATCCTGGGGGTGTTCTGTTTACTCCGATAAGAGAGAGGGGAAAAAAAAAAGTTTTATTAGTGAAGTTAATAATCTTGATTGTGGCTATAATTCTAAAAACCAAAGCAACATGTATTTGAATTATAAAAATAAAAAAAAAGTATCCTGCACCAAAACGTTATGACATTTGACTAAGTCTAATCTTCAAGGTGTCTGCATGTTTTTAAATTGTGTAACGTCTTCATTTGTTCTTAAACTTGTAAAAGAATAGCTAGAAGTTTATATAAAAAACATAAGTAGAATATTTTTTAAATTTCAAATCTTCTTGACAGTTGTGGCATTCCTCAGAGTAATAGTTAATTGAGCCAAATATTTTTTTTTAAATTTCATTTCATTGGGACTGAATAGTAAATGTAACCATACAATTTATTTATCTGTAAATAGAAGCATCACCATCAGCTGGAAAGATACTGTAAGTTGACTCAAACAGTTTTGTTTTGATAAAAAAAACAACTACATTTGGAGTGCACAATGTTTTATCAAGGTGCAACAGTTTTGCTCGTTATATTCAGTATGGTGTGCTAAATGAAGTCGGGAGCTTTTGTTTTTAAACCTGTTGAATTTGATTAAATATTTTAAAAAATAATATAATAATATGATCAGCCCACTGTGCAGCATCAGCCCATTAAAAAGTATTCTTGCACGTCGATCACTTCTAATGATTTGCGATGTAAAACTTAATGTTTTGCTGATTTTAGATTTTCAGACCAGTGCGTTGTAACTTTCCATCTTTTGGTTTATTGTTAAAAATAGTAAGGAGGTTTAGATCGGATTTCTTTAAAAAAAAAAAAGGGGGGGGGGGGGACGTGAAATGTATATATTTAGTTTGGTTCATTCTTTTAAATCTTGCTTAATAGAAAACTTTCTTTCCTTGCAAAATTCTCCATATGTGGGTGGGATTTCCCCAAAATGCGGTGAACAGCACGACTGCGACTGGAAGCTCAACGCCCTCCGAGCAAAGAGCAAAAGTCCACTCGCCTGCTTTGTATCATTTATTGCTACAGACTGAATCCGTGTCTGTCCGGGGAGTTGGAAAGACTAGGGACCAAGGCTTTGCTAAGTAATTATCAATTCTATCTATTGCGTATTTAATGTTGTTAGAGTTTTAAATCTGTGGTGGGTCTTTTGTCTGTTGGACATAAATCATCTGGTCTGATTGAAATCTTATTTGTAGAATGCATTTAGATTGCCTAAAAGATGCATCGCATGTGCCAACCTGTATTATTGCTCATGAAGAGGAAATTGAAATTGGAATTATAGTTTTTTTGTTTCTAGAAAACAAATTGCACTTTCACTTGATTATTTTTTTTTTGGCTCAGCCAAAGTGTTAAATTTGTATTTGTCCTTGAAGTTTTAATTGCTCCACCGTGCTTGTGTTGCTTTGTTCACAGAGGATTTTGGACAGCCAGGACTAGAAGATGCTTGGAACAGTCTTCCTGCTACTGGTTGCTCTCTGTGCCAGCGGGGGGTTTGGTGAGGAACGAGAAGAGGTGCAGAGACCTGGTCATGTTTCTGTGATCATAGTGGGGTCAACGGGGGACCTGGCACGTAAATACCTGTGGCAGGGATTCTTCCAGCTGTACGTTCACCAGGTCAGTAGCGGTCACACCTTTTCCTTCTATGGAGGAGGACTGTCCCCTGCAGAGAAGGCCACACCTGTCCTCTTTGAGATCCTGAAGGCAGTCACGTGCTCAAAGGATGTATCGCCGGAACGGTGTGCCATCATAAAAGACCAGTTCCTGCGGCTCTCGCAGTATCGGCAGCTGAAAACTGTGGAGGACTACCAGCACCTGGCCAAGCACATAGAGCAACAGCTTCAGCAAGAGGGCATGAGCGAGGCAGGGAGACTCTTCTACCTCTCTGTTCCAGCTTTTGCATATGCAGACATCGCTGAGAAGATTAACAGCACTTGTAGGCCAACCGGTGGGCCTTGGCTGAGGGTCGTGCTCGAGAAACCTTTTGGACACGACTATAACAGCGCTCAAGTGCTCGCAACTCAACTTAGGAGCTTTCTGAATGAAGATGAAATGTACAGGATTGATCACTATTTGGGAAAACAGGTAAAAATAAACATGCACATCATGCAGTTTTTTTTTTTTTTTTTTTTACAATTCATGTGTTAATTTTTACACTGTTGTGTTGTGGAGAAAGGTTGTGTCAAAGATACTTCCCTTCAGGACAGAGAACGGAAAGGTTTTGGATCGCATCTGGAACAGGCACCACATCGAGAGAATAGAGATTGTTTTGAAAGAGACCCTGGACTGTAAAGGTAATTAAACATTTAAAAAATAAATTGAATTGCTGCTATGGGTAAAATAGACTTTGGCCTTATTTCAGGCTTTGTGTGTCCAGTTTGGAAATCATCTGGGGACTTGTAATATTTCACATCATCGGTCCTATTGAGGGACTTACTCGCAAAATAAAATAAAATAAAAATAAATGTATGCACAGAACCAGCCACATGCATCAAACCATGATCACACCTGACCCTGAGCGCCTTCATGTCCCTGAACCTGTGCCATGTTAGATCTTATATAAGCTGAAACATGCTGACAAAGTGGTATATAGAACATTTGTAGCCATGCAGACAAAATATAAACTCTTAAGGTCCTTAAAAATGTTATATTTATGTAAATTGTGAGGGGATTTTTGGTCAGTGTTTATGGATGTTTTATCACAACTAATCTTAACTGCCCATGAACCATGTGTGAGCTACCAGAGAGTTCTTTACATTGAATGAGGAGCTGATTGGATCCTTCATGTGCTGTGTGACCGAGGCCCTCTGAGCCTGCGTCTGAGCCGAGAGCTGATAAGCGTAGAAATAACAATTCTTGCAGGCAGATTCTCGTGACAGGGTTCCATGCATGTAGAACATCTGTACAGCTGTGTAACCTGTGAGAAAACTCAGCCCTTGCACGTAAAACTGGTTAAAAATCTTCTCGTGTCCTCAAGTGTGGCTTCTTTGAGTAAGTAAGATGAATAGATGAGATTTTTATCCAACATAAATACTATTTCAGATGAACTTATGGAATCATTGCAATGGTTTATTTTAAAAACTGAGCCTAAATGCAAAATCGGTGCACTCAAAGCTCCTCTCCTGCTTCTTCCAGAGGAATTAGAAGAGTAAAATTGCAGCCAAATGCTACTATTGAAATCAATTAATCAGCTGATAAGTATAATCAGCTGATTAATACATTTGGGGACCCTTCTGCTTTTACAAAACCTGAAGGGTGGTCAGCAGAACAAGAATGTATTGTTAAATTATGTGGCACAACTTAAGTTTGTAGAGTTGTTTCTGATTATTTTTTTATTTTTACAATGAACAAAGAAGAGTAGACAGTTTATCCCCAAAGGGAAATTGTTTCTCGTTGAGAGAACATGAGGTGTTCTAGCTCCTAAAAACAAAATAAGGTATTTGTATTTGCATACAAACACAGTGAAGACAGAAAAAATGATGATAACAGTTCTGTTTCAGACAAAATATAAAACCCAAGACGACACTCAAGCAACAGACTATATTAAAAGAAAAACTGTCAAGACCATGGTGAACGTTTTTCATCAAAATGCAAAGCAACACATTTGTCAACATAAACAGCGCAAAGGCTAAAACATTTGTACCAAATGTTATGCACGGTGGTGGAGGACTGATGATCTGGGATTGTTTAGCAGAAAGAAACCGTGCAGTGTTTGATCTAAACTACAGTAGTCCCTCGCTACTTCGCGGTTCGTTTTTTGCTAACTCGCTCTATCGCGGTTTTTTTTAAATATGATTGGACATGACACATAGTTGGCTGATTGATGGATGAGCTGCACGATTGGCATGGAATTTTTATTTAAATAAATAATTTAGCACCTGCTGCACAGTATGCAGCCCACTCTGCAGGAGAAACTTCCTCCTCCGTCAATCTACGTTCTGCAGCGGAGAAGTGGACGTGGCCGAGAGCATGACATGACATGCTAATAATTATAATTTAATCTGTGACTCAGCAGCTAAAGCTTGGCAAAATCTGGATCCTGCAACAATACAAGGATCCCATGGATACCAGCAAACAGAAAACATGTTTTTTTTTACCTACAAATCTGTTAAACATATGACAAAAAGTGTACCTTTTTTCCACGATTACTTAATTTCTTTGTAAATCTGTGTTTGCACTCTCTCTATTTTAATTGCAAAAGGTCGTGCTGCCTTCTACAATGAGTACGGGGTGATCAGAGATGTCCTGCAGAACCACCTCACCGAGGTCATGACGCTACTGACCATGAAGCTCCCTGCGAACGTGAGCAACAGTGAAGAAGTTCTTCGAAACAAGCTGCAGGTCCTCGGTTCCATGCTACCTTTAGGAAAGAACCAAGCTGTGGTTGGACAGTACCAAGCCTACAAAACTGAGATCCAGCAGGAGCTGAATAAAACAAAGGATCACGTGAGCCTAACTCCAACATTTGCAGGTGAATTTAAGATTATGCAGGATTTTCTACCATTTAGTTCAATGAGAATAAAGTGATGACATGTGTGGTTGTGTTTCAGCTGTCCTGGCCCACATGGACGAGCCTCAGTATGAAGGGGTGCCTATTCTTCTCATCTCAGGGAAAATGTTAGACGAACGAGTGGGATATGCACGCATACTTTTTAAGAATGATGTGTTTTGCGTTCAGAACCACCACAGCGTTCTCTGCAAGCCCAAACAGATAGTGTTCTACTTTGGCCACGGCAGTCTTCAGTACGCTGCCGTCCTTGTCAGTAAGAATTTATTCAAGCCAGTTTTAAAAGACCACGAGTGGAAGGAAGTGACTGAGCATGCGGACGTCAACATTTTAGGTCTTCACATTTCAGACTACTATGTCCATACTCTGATAAAGGAAAAGGAAGCTTATGCAGAACTTATATCTCACGTCTTAGCTGGACGAAAGAATAGTTTCATCAGTACTGAAAACCTGTTGGCCTCCTGGGGTTTATGGACACCGCTTCTCATTGGCCTGACCGGCTCTTTCCCCCGAATCTACCCTGGTGGTGCCGACAACGGAGACATGCTAGATGTCCATCTGAAAGGGAAAGAGATCCACTACAGCAGCGAGGTGCTAATAATCGAACCTGATCACGTAGGAGGCACGGCGGCTAACAGTTTCCAGGTGATGCAGGGCAAGTTTCGCAGCACCGACATGGTGTCTGCCTGGACTGAGGAGCTGGTTGAGAGGCTGGCTGCAGACATGGAGGAAGCAGCCGTGGCAGCGGTGAACACGGGCACCGTTTTCCATCTCGCCCTGTCTGGAGGGTCGACTCCTCTTGCTTTGTTCCACCGGTTGGCTCTGCACCACTTCGCCTTCCCCTGGTGGAACACCCATGTGTGGATGGTGGATGAGCGCTGCGTGCCGCAGACTGAACCGGAGTCCAACTTCTACAACCTGCACCAACACCTGCTGCAGCATGTGAGGATACCCTATTACAACGTGCACCCCATGCCTGTGCAGCTCAACCAGCGGCTGTGTGTGGAGGAGGATGGAGGAGCACTGCTGTACGAGACGGAGCTCAGCAGACTGGTTAATGGCTCCAGCTTTCACTTCGTGCTGCTAGGTGTTGGATACGATGGCCACACAGCCTCCCTGTTCCCCCGTGGGAAGCTGAGTGAACTCGGGGAAAATCTGGTAGCGCTCACGGAGAGCCCCACCAAGCCTCATCAGCGCATGAGCCTCACTTTCAGTGCTATTAACCGAGCACGCAAGGTTGCTCTGTTGGTGATGGGCAAAGGCAAACATGAGCTGGTTACCCAGCTGAGCCGAGTGAAGGACACTGCAGACAAATATCCCGTCACTGGAGTGAAACCTGCTAATGGCAGCCTTGTCTGGTATATTGACTATGATGCACTTTTAGGGTAGGAGGGTTTATATTTTTAAACTTTCAGACTTAAATTCTCTGAAGCTGCTTCATCTGGATCCCTGGTTGGTGGAAAAAGACTAAATATGAACCATCCCAGAGAGGACAAGTACACGTTGTAGTTTAACTACAAACCAAAGATACTTGATATTACTCTTTTTAATGTTCTGTTTACTTTTCCCCCAGTTTGAGTTTAATCAGAACAGAAAAAATGTTTTTGTAATTTATTAATTTAAAGGCTTTGTGCAACATTTTAACCCATTGGCATCGAGGGGGTGGGTAATATTTCATTTATGCTGGTAGTTAGGGATGCACAATATTATCGGCATGGTATCATTCTCGGCAGATATTAGCGATAAAGTTGTATGTATATATATATATATATATATATGTATTACATCATTTTCAGCCCCCTTTTTGGCATCTGCATTTGGTATCAAGCCAAATTGACAAAGACCATGCAGAATAATGTATTTTAACTCCACAGCAGAGAACGCTATTTAGTCTTTGTAAGTAGGTCTAGGGGAAAAAAAATATTGGTATTGGTATCAGTTATCGGCCAAATAAGTTTTAACACATCGGCATATCAGCCAAAAATCCAATATTGTGCATCCCTACTGGTAGTTATTTGGTTCAAACAATGTGGTTCAATTTACTGAAAGGTGAATGTTTATTTGAATTTCTTTCTGAAAGAGTGAATATGTATAGACATTTTAAAAGTTAATCAGAAGTATATAAGTGTGAGATGAGTGGAAACAGATCTGAATCACACACGTCTGCAGTTTACAGATTATGCAGCGTGTGATAAACTGTGGTGCTAAAAGCCAGTTTGAACAAACTAAAGTGATTTCTGTGACTCATATCTCAGGTAGATTTGCAAATATAATTGCAGTTTTCTATGTAATCTGCCATTTTTGTATAATTTCTAAATATCAAATATGTACGTGCTTACAAAAATGATTTTACTTAGAAGGAAAATCAATGCACATGCTATAATTTTAAATGATGTTTAATATATTTGAACTAAAACAAAAAAAAGTTGTGGCTTCAACAGTGGCATTCTTTTAAGGAAATGTATTAAATGCAACTTGGAGATTTTGATTTGTGTGTGCAACAATTTCAGGCAGCTTCTGGTGGATTTTGAAAGCCTGTACATTAAGTTTACATGTTGACCCTTCAATAACGTTTTGAGAATTTCAACAAGAACGCTGTTCTGAATTTGATCAACATGAATAAATTGAAGAGTAATAGAAATTTCTATACATCCTTAAATTTTCCTAAATGTAAAACATTAAAGCAGTTAAAATAATTATGCTCAGCATATTACAAATCAGTGATCTAGAATTCTTGGGCCAAAAGACTGTCTTTATAACCTTGTGTAAAGCCTGCCATACAAGTTTCTGCTTAAAGAAAAATAAACAGTGCAGTTTGTCTCGCCATATTTTACAGATTTACTGTCAAAACAGAAATGAAGGAAGAGCTCAGCCTGTTCAGACTGGTGAACTCCCATATTCAGCCTCTGGCCATCACTCTGCATCATCACTGCTGAAAACTGTAAAAAGAGGAGGTTACCATAGGTCACACTGCTGAGAGCAAAGCAAACCCTAAACAATCTTTAACAATCTTGCAAGAAAAAAAATAAAAAAAAAACCAGTCAATATTTGCAAAGTACTTCCTTTTTTATAAAAACTATTTTAGGCTACCGATCATATTGATTGTACAAACCGGATTCCAAAAAAGTTGGGACACTAAACAAATTGTGAATAAAAACTGAATGCAATGATGTGGAGATGGCAAATGTCAATATTTTATTTGTAATATAACATAGATGGCAGATCAAAAGTTTAATCTGAGTAAATGTAACATTTTAAAGGAAAAATATGTTGATTCAAAAATTCACAGTGTCAGCAAAGCCCAAAAAAGTTGGGACAAGTAGCAATAAGTGGCTGGAAAAAGGAAATTGAGCATATAACGAACAGCTGGAAGACCAATTAACACTAATTAGGTCAGTTGACAACATGATTGGGTATAAAAAGAACTTCTCAGAGTGTCGGTGTCTCAGAAGCCAAGATGGTAAGAGGATCACCAATTCCACCATTGTTGCGCAGAAAGATAGTGCAGCAATACCAGAATGGTGTTACCCAGTGTAAAATTGCAAAGATTTTTAAGTAATCATCATCAACCGTGCATAACATCATCAAAAGATTCAGAGAATCTGGAATAATTGCTGTGCGTAAGGGTCAAGACCGTAAAACTCTACTGGATGCTCGTGATCTCCGGGCTCTTAAACGTCACTGCACCTCAACAGAAATGCCACTGTCAAGGAAATAACAGAATGGGCTCAGGAATACTTCCAGAAAGCATTGTCGGTGAACACAATCCATCGGGCCATCCGCCGTTGCCAGCTGAATCTCTACAGTGCAAAGAGGAAGCCATTTCTAAGCAAGTTCCACAAGCTCAGACGTTTGCACTGGGGCAGGGGTCATTTAAAATGGAGTGTGGCAAAATGGAAGACTGTTCTGTGGTCAGATGAGTCACGATTTGAAGTTCTTTATGGAACACTGGGACGCCATGTCATCCGGACCAGAGAGGACAAGGATAGCCCAAGTTGTTATCAATGCTCCGTTCAGAAGCCTGCATCACTGATGGTATGGGGTTGCATGAGCGCTTGTGGCATGGGCAGCTTGCATGTCTGGAAAGGCACCATTAATGCAGAGAACTATGTTCAGGTTCTAGAACAACATATGCTCCCATCTAGACGTCATCTCTTTCAGGGAAGACCCTGCATTTTTCAACATGATAATGCCAGACCACATTCTGCAGCAATCACAACATCATGGCTACGTAGGAGAAGGGTCCGGGTACTGAAATGGCCAGCCTGCAGTCCAGATCTTTCACCTATAGAGAACATTTGGCGCATCATAAAGAGGAAGGTGCAGAGAAACTGGTCTCTGTCCCCAGACGTCTGTTGAGTGTTGTAAGAAGAAGGGGGGATGCCGTACAGTGGTGAAAATGGACTTGTCCCAACTTTTTGGGGATTTGTTGACGCCATGAAATTTGGAAACAGATTTTTCCCTTAAAATGATACATTCTCTCAGTTTAAACTTTTGATTTGTGATTTGTGTTCTATTCTGAATAAAACATTAGATGTTGGCACCTCCACATCATTGCATTCAGTTTTTATTCACAATTTGTTTAGTGTCCAACTTTTTTGGAATCCGGTTTGTATATCCTTACACACACACACATACAGTATGTATATGCATACATATGCAGCACTTAAGATATTACTACAAATACAGAGCGTAAAATGACGGGATTAAAAGTTCCTGCAGACCAGAACAAGGATGTTTGAGATTAAAGCATGATCCAACTAGAGAAATTGCATTTCCTGTGAAAATGCAGTGTGAACACTTATTGCAGAAAAACTTGCTGCAAAACAGCTGAAATTAGCTAAACACATGCTAAATCTAGCTGAAATGGAAGAACAAGCCTAAGTTGGTAGAAGTAGAAAGAACGCATATTTGCTAAATTAGGTTTAAATAAGCAGAAATTAGCATAAGAGGAAATTTGCAAAAAAAATTAGGAAAAAAAAAAGTAGCTGAAAAGGCTAATCACGCTTTTTGCCTTTCCCACCCACATTTTGATGTCCATAATCACGCTTAATCAGATGGAAGCAGAAAGAGCTGAAATAAGCCCAATAAATGTACAATTAGCTGAAAAAGATTAAATTTGCATAAACTGCTAAATAGTAGCTGAAATTGCGGAAAAAGCTGAAAGTAGCAGAACTTGAAAGGAGTAGAACAAGCTTAAATTAGCAGTGAAAAGTTTATTAGGGCCGTGTGATGGACTTGCGACCTGTCCATGGTGTACCCCGCCCCTCGCACTGTGATTGCTGGACATGGGAACCGGCGACCCCGGTGACCCAAAATGGAAGAAGCGGGTAAAAAGATTATGGATGGATGGAAGTTAATTAGGCTAAAAGTAGAAGAAATTATACCGCAAATCTTGAATTTATATGAAATTACCTAAAAAGTATAGCTGAAAAAGGTAAAACAAACTAGCACAAGAAAACAGAAAGAACATGTTTGCCCAATTAGGCTGAAAGAAGCAGAAATGAGCACAATATAAGTGGAAATATGAAAAAAGCTGAAATCAGAAAGAAGCAGCTGAAAAGTAGCTAAAAATTCAGAAAGAAGCTTAAAATTACCAGATGGAAGGGGAGAGAGCACAATTTTGCTGAAGGATGAAAAATGTTGAAATTAGTACAAAAAATGTGAAATTAGCCAAAAAAGCTAAAATTAGCATAAAACAGCTAAATAGTAGCTGAAATAGCAGGAAAAGCTGAAACTTGCATAAATAAGCTGAAATTAGCAGAATGAAGTTGGAAGAAGCACAAAAATGTAGTTGGAAGAAAGAATCTGAAAGGAGCACAAAAGAGCTGAAAAACAGCAGAAAGTAGCTGGAAATATAAAATTTTGCACAAGGAAGCTGAAAGAAGCTGAAGCAGAACAAAATGTGAAAGCAGCAGTAAAAGGTTGCTAACAGATGTAAAGATGTGAAGGATGTAAAATGAGCTCAGTTCTTTATCAGTGAGAAAAAAAACGGCAGAAAAGGCTAAATATTTCAAAAAGCTAAACTATATGGACGATGAATCTGCCTCTTAATCATTCAAACAATAATGGATTCTTAAATTATGGGACCTCAAAATAAACTTTGAATACATTTTTTTAGTATTACATTATGGTTTACAACACTATAATATTCATTAACTCATTATTCAGTAAAACATTCTGATACTCAAACATTTCTAAACAAGCAAGACATCTGCTGTTCTGCAGTAAGTGTTAAAAGGTGACATGGATTAGCTCACTTGCACTTTTCTTGGTTTTGTTATGGTGTAATGTTTCAAGCTGCTGGCGGCACAGAAACCTCATGAATTCTTTAAACGTGCAGGGTCAGATGGCAGCGTGGGGACAGCTGGACCCTTTCGGCTTGTCCCCGTCACTTGTCCCACTGCCTTTTGGTTAACCACAATCCCCCTCTCACCGCAAAAAACACTAAACAGACACAAACAGGTGTCACTTTTTTTTAAACTAGAGATTATTTCTGTCAGTGATCCAGTCTGTGCTGGAGAGAAATGTCCCTCACCTGTGCAGAGCGTGGAGGCCACCGTTAGCGCTACAGACGTGTAGTACAGCTCTGGAGTGGTCTTGGCCTGTGAATATGAATGAAAAAAAAATAACTGATGTTGATTTTCTGCTTTAATAATGTCACCCTTCGCTTGAAAGTCAAATGTCTTCTCAAAATATTTCATGAACCATTGAACAGATTTTAAACTTTTAAGAAATAGTCATCATGTACAGTACATCTACAACTCATTAAACTTGTTTTTTTCCACTATGGGAGTGTGGTAATTGTTGGACTTAAGTTTGTTTGTGGCTTCTCGGACTGAAGAAGTCCTTCGAATAAAAGGATGAAACATCTCAGGAAAAATAAAAACACAGAACCAGATGACCTGACTGGACATTGATGGATTTGTACCTGGATTATTGAGCATGAACTGTTGGTACAACTCATTAACTTTTAGAGCCAATCAAAGATGGCCACCTAACCAAGTTATTCAGTATTAGCAAACACAAGCTACAACTCAATGTATTCTACAGGTAGTAAGCTAAAATTTTACGTGGTAGTAGCTGAGAGTCAGTCATAATATCACAAAAGAGCGTGAAATCTTATGCCATTTTCAAGGTTTAACCAGAACTTCCAATTCCATCATGTCTCATCATGGGATGATTTGTTCGTCTAAAACGCATGATAGGCAGTGGACGATATGATTTCCTTCAAGAAATGCCAATTTATGAACATCGTTTCTTGTACGGGTGGCACGGTGGCACCGTTAGAGCTGCCACCTCTCAGCGAGCAGGTCGTCGATTCAAATCCCGGTCGTGGGACCTATATGGGTGGAGTTTGCATGTTCTCTCCATGCATGCATGGGGGATCCTGGTACTCCGGTTTCCCCCCACAGACCAAAAACATGCATGTTAGGATGATTGGTAACTCTAAATTGTCCCTAGGTGTGAGTGAATGGATGTATGTCTCGTTTGTCTCCAGGGTGTCCCTGTGATGGACTGGACACCTGTCCAGGGTGTCCCCCGTTGATGGATGGATGGATGGATGCTTACACATGCTGTTGCTGTGAGAGTCAGGATGGCAGAACTTAGTCCGTGTCCACATGACAGCAGTCCAAACACATGATAGGCAGCCCACAAGCTCTGACAAACTGGATCCATCAGTGTGAAGATCACTGAAAAACCTTAAAATATAAGAACATGTCAATGTTGCACATTCAGAGCTTTGGAGCTGTATGATTCATTCATTCATCCTTTATTTATACAGGTTAGTCTCATTGAGTCACGAGGACTCATTTTCAAGAGGGACCTGTTTTAAACAATAAAACCCACAGGTGAGGTACACACAACAATAAGCAGTCATAAAAAGCAAATAAAATAAAAAGTAAATAAACGTAGTGATGCGAAACAAAATGAAACGAGCTACATGATGACTGACAGGACTCACCGGAAGCGATGATGGACAAGGCAACAGAGATCGCCAAGTTGTTCAGAAGAGGCTGCCTGCAGTATCTTGAAGATTTGGGCCTTAAAATCAAACACACACACACACGGTTGTAAAATGCTCCCCCTTCGATGCAAGTAACTCATGATCCATGGCTGAATGCCACAACCTGCACCAGTTACCTTCCCATAACAAAGACCTGAGGGGCCAGAACCACGACAATGAACACTGCATTCACTACCTGACTGTGAACAGAGAACAAAAGCATCAGGATAAAATCGCATTTGTCATCTGCAGCTATAGACAGACTTACAATTTTAACCTCTGACCCGGTGGGATCCATCTGCTGCTGTGATATGCCATGAAGACCAGCATGTAATGAAGCATTGATGCAACACATCCAGACAGGCAGGAGCTGGACCTCTGCTGCTGGTGGCTGCACGCTCTGAGGAAATATTAGGTTTCAGAGCTGCAGACTTTCTCAATCCTTCTCCCTGAGGCACGAATCCCTGCATGTTTTACTTGTTTCCCTACTTCAGCGCACCTGATTTCAATCGGTAGGCAATTGGGCCTGTGTAGAGGTTGATGACAAGCTGATCAAATGTATCATTTATTTTATTTGTTTTGCCCAAATTTAGCCTCAATTCTGTTTGTAAGACGTGGGAAACATCACATCCTGCACAGATTAATCAGGAACAGGGATATTTCATGATGTCTGAAAAAGAAAGAAAGAAAACAAACTCTGCAGCTCCACCCACTCACCTCGTCTCCTCCACTAAATGTGATGAAAATATCTGGGGGAAGCGTCACATCCACGCCTTCCCCATATTGAGCCACTATAAAACATTTAATGCAACAACCCTTCACTCCTGCTCTTCCTCCAGACGAGTCCTCAAGCAAACGTCCAACATGCCTGCTGACTACAACGGATCCTGGGACATGATCAGCAGCGACAACTTTGATGGTTATATGGTCGCACTTGGTAAGTTGGGTTATTTCTGGGGGAAAAAAAAAGAAGCATTTTGTTTATTAGTTTAAACAAACGATGGAAAAGTCCATGTATTAAACGGAAGTGTGTTAAAATGTTTCTCTTCACCGTGCAGGCATTGACTTTCCAACACGCAAGGTCGCCTCTTTGCTGAAGCCTCGGAAGGTGATCAAGCAAGATGGAGATTGTTTCATGTTCCAAACCGTCTCCACTTTGAAAACCTACGAGTGCTCGTTCAAAATTGGAGAGGAGTTCGATGAGGTGACCAAAGGAATGGACAACCGCTTGTGCAAGGTAACTATGTTGGAATCAAACTTTTAGCTTTTAAAGTTTAACCTGGTCTCTGCCATTTGTGCCACTTGGCTGATTGGATGTAACTTTTTTTATTTTATTGTCAGAGTGTGGTCACCTGGGATAATGATAAGCTGGTGTGTGTTCAGAAAGGAGAAAAGGAAAACAGGGGCTGGACTCACTGGATCCAGGGAGACGAGCTTCATCTGGTATGACTGCACGTCTTTAATGTTCTGCAAATGCAGAAGAACTCAACTCCTGAACCTTATGCATGTTTAATGGTTTGTGCATGCTCTTTGCTGAAACCTTCATGAAGTTTAGCTTTTTATTTTTTTTATTTCTTTTTCAGGAGCTCAAATGTGAAGGCCAAGTGTGCAAACAAATTTATAAAAAGGTCCAGTGATCCTGCGTTTTTACGACCAATCAACACTACTTGTTTGGTGCTTCTATCAAATGAGCTGAGAAAATTCTGCGCCAGCTGTCATGCCTACTAATAAAAAGAGGAAAAGTTTCTTGTCTTTATTTATTTTTTCAAAATTCAATAAGTATATTGCTTCCTGTAAAACGAGAAGGCAATAAAAGCTTCGAATTTACAACTTTCAGGCTCTTTAAAAGGGGGAAAAGTTGGATACCAGAGGAAGGTCATGACTAAATGTACAATCTTTCAAACTATGGTACTAAGAGCAACTCTTTGTGGTGTGTGGGGTTTTTTTTTTTTTTTTTTTTTTTTTTTTTTTTTTTTTTTTTTTTTTTTTCCTTCCGTAACTTGCAGTCAAAAGAAAATCCGATCTAGTTTGTCAAGGTGATGTACTTGTGGTGATCGAGGTTCTCAGACATAATTTTGTCTAGTGTCTTCACACCTGCCTTGCTGAGGGACGCAGCCAGACTCTGTCCTTGAACTGGAAAACACTTTCAGGTGTTTAGTTTCTGGCACATCTTTGTCTAGACTTTGCAGATTTCCAAGTGCACTCTTTCCTGCTTGTTCCTCTAAACATAAAATTTAGCATTTGCTGAAGGAATGCATATCAACCACCTTGCATGCCAAGTTTAAACAAGGATGTAGAGCAATCTGTTGGCACTCTGTATATGGTGGGAGTGACTTTGCTACAAGAGCATTTATCAAATTTGCTTTTAGTTTTAAAATGTCATGTGCCTTTTTTTTTTTTTTTTTTTTTTAAGACCATAGGCAGCTTAATTATTCCAAGTAGCTTCAATTAAATTTTGTACACGTGTTCATCCATTACAGAATGAATATCCAGCTCTGATTAGACAAAATCATGTTTTTCTCTACTGGCTCTTAAAATGAGTGTTCTTGACTTCATAAGGAATTTTTTTTTTTTTTATGTGCGATTCCTTCTGAAAGTTGGAAACCCCGGTGTATACTGCTACAGATGACTAAAAGATTCTGCACAAGCCCAATAAATCTTTAGAAGGGTTAAATCTTTAACAGGAGGGAGAAAATGTTCAAATCACATCTCAGATTTGGACACAGGAATTAAACGGAAATGAATGTGAATGCTGTGGAGAAGATGAGACTGAGCATGTGTTGTACTACCAGAAATACAAATGTGAAAGAACTCAACGGAGTCCCTAAAATGAAACGCAAGGTTTGATCCAATAGAATCATTGCAGAATACAAAATCTCTATAGGCTTTTAACATAGGGCTCTGCAACCTGCAGCTCTGGAGCCACATGCACATCCATCTCTTTCAAGCTTTGACCAAAACTAACAAGTTTCATTCATTTAACAAAAAGGCCAAGTTTTAACCATTTTGCTCCAATTTATTTTGCAAAAATGTGAACATTTCTTCAAAGTAGGATACTTGATTTTTTTTTTCCCACAATTAAAAATAAAATGAAGGCCTAACTAGTTTTTTAAAAAATATTTTATTCCTTTACAAGAATTTTGTAATCTTGTCTTAAAATTTCTCTTTTTTTTTTCTGGCTGCCGTCTTCGGGGGTGCCACAGTGAACCAACTTGCACAAAGACTTGGCGATTGTTTTTAAGCTAGATGTCCTTCCTGACACAACCACAGGCCTCTGTGTGGAGCAGAGAGTTGTAGTGTAGGGTGCCCGGGAACACAGATGGTGGGGGTTAAGAGCCTTGCTCAAGGGCCCAGAGTGGGGCAAATGAGGGTGGAGGCAGGTGTAGGTGCTTCACCTTTCCCACCCGCATTTTGATGTCCATCTGGAGAGTCGAACCGGCAACCTTCCAATCACCGGCTCGCCTTCTCCAACCTCTGTGCCACCATTTCCTTATGTCACCCCTAAAGCACCCTCCAAGAACTGGTCTGCGAGCCACCAGTTGAGCATCAGTTGTAGGTTTTGTGGCTCCGGATTCGTTTGATTTAGTGAATGATGGAGCAGAAATGGCTTGTTTGGTTGTAAAAGTTGCAGACACCTGCTGCATGCACACAATATCTGATACAGAATGTGTGAAAGTTTTTAAATGTCGATTAAGTCCATACTCCTTACGTTTATTAGCGTCAATGCAAATTGTTTGCCAACAGCCAAAACACAACAAAAAAAAAAAACAGTAAATGAACTGTACTAAAGCACTGATTATATATAGTGCCTTTCCATCTTATCAATATACTCAAAGCTCTTTACAACACAATTTGTGCTATTTACCCATTCATACAGCACACTCTATACAAAGAATAATCAGTGCTTTAGAACATTCATAACAATGGGACAAACATCGGAGACAATGAGGGGTTGAGTGTCTTGCCCAGGGACACTTCTGCTTGTGACTGCTGGTGGAATCGAACTCCCAACTCTTGCATTGGAAGACGACTGCTCTAACCACTCTAACCACCAGCTCTCGACCTTGACCTGAATCTGTTGGACTCCTGGCAGGGACCAATGCAGACATGTTCCTGTTTTTAGTTTTCTACATTCGCCTTAGAATCTAGCTGTTTTTATGTTGCTTTTCTTTTTTTAGCCATCCTATTTGTTAAAAATAAATATCTGTATGACTTTTTGTTGTTGTCGCTGTTATCCACTGTTGTCATCATTCTTTGTTGAAATCAGGTCTCTCTTGTAAATGAGTCCTCGAGGCTCAATGGGATGTACCTGTCTAAATAAAGGTTGAATGAACTCCTACACAGCCGCCCAGCAGTGAGGCAGCATCTCCTCCAGGCCACAAGGTGGCGCCACAAAACGATTGTACTCCATAAGGAAGAACAACTTCCCCCCGCGAATTTTGTTTATCTGAAAATATTTCATAGACGAACCATCGTGTCACATCTTTGACGTGTGTAGCATTCTGTCAGCCTCAATACTTCTTTCTGAGTCCTTTGAAGTAAATCTTGTCCCGTTTAAAAATGTCAGCGGATGCAGGCGAAACTCAACAGGTGAGAGCAAAATAATAGCATCGAACGCCGTGGTCCGACATTAACACACGACATGGATGTGTTTTGTTTAGAGGTTAAAAGCAGCAGTTCATTACACAGTGGGTCGTCTGTGTCAGAAGACTGCGGAGGAACAACGGAGGGAGTTCAGCCGACAGGTGGTAGCAGCGATAGCCGAGACGACGTTCAGACAATGTGGTGAGTTCAGGTTCACGTAGGACATGATGGAAACCAGTCATAATCTGTGGCCTCAGACAAGCAGCATGTATTATAATCTACCATAAAATAATCTGTGGCCTCAGACAAGCAGCATGTATTATAATCTACCATAAAATAATCTGTGGCCTCAGACAAGCAGCATGTATTATAATCTACTACAAACTGTGGTCCACAGTAACTCATACATTTTTATTTCATGTTTTATTCAGCTCGCAAGTTGTATTAACCCATTAAAATGCTAGTCCTGTTACATTTAAGTTTTGTGCACTAAAACAAACATTCCCAACCTTTTCATTTTTTCCAAGCTGTATTTGTCAAGAGACAAAAAGGTCTCCACAGGCAATAATTTCACTTTCTCAGCCAAGCTCCTTGATCTTTGTCAACACTGCAATACTCTTCTGATTATTGCAAATATTTCACGTTGAAAACTGTCTTTTTTTTTGTGTGTCATATACACACACACAAGAATTTGTGGGACTTTGACAAGCCAGTAGTTGTGACACAGAACAGGAAGTAATGTGCAGCCTTGTACACCACCACTATAAATCTGACCTTTTGTCATTTTGCAAAACATATATATTTGTTCAAGGCAAGTAAAAAAAGCAATGGAAGATTTGTATCAGCTTAAATTAAAATGTAAACTATAAATATAACATGTACCAAATTGCTTTATTTTATATTGTGAAGCGGAAATACAACACATATCAAAATACAATAAATAAATAAAAAGTAATTATACATTTTTCAGTAAAAACAGTTCTTACTTGTTGGATATTTGAGTGCATTAGTGAAAAACAGTTTTGTGTAATTAAAAAGTAACAGATTTTCTGTCTTTTATTAGAAACAAAATGTCTGATGAATTAGAAACAGGTAAATGATGCACAGCTACGTGTTTTCTAGGTACTTCCAGAAAATGTATCAAATAATCGCACTGCTCCTTCAGGAGACAACAATGCCTGAACATATTTTTACTTTTTATGCCTAGATATCTTTGCTAAAGACCTGGAGGCTTTTGCACGGTGAGCTTTTCTTTTGAACGATGTTTGAAACATTTAACTTATTGAACGTAGTATAAAAAAGAATGAACGTTAATAAGTTAGCTGTGTGCTGTTTTGCCAAAACGTTTTATAATTTCCAACTCGTCTTTAGGCATGCTAAAAGAAGCACAGTGTCTATGGAGGATGTAAAACTTCTAGCCCGTCGCAGCAATGCATTGGTGAGTGTCACAAGTGCTCTATGAAGCAACCGTTCACAAGACCACAGGAAAAAAAGTTGTCAATCCTAACAACCGTTTTGTTTGTTCAATTTACTGTAGTTTTATACAAAACAAATATTCTACAGAAGACAACTTTAATATGTCATTTGCCTTTATTTCAGTCCATGTTCATACAAAATAAAAGTGAAGAACTGGCCCAGGAGCACGAGTTAAAAAAGAAGAGCGCTGGGAAGAGAGAGCAGAGACACTGAAGAGGACATGTCACAGGAAGCCTGCACGCTTAACGTGTCCAACATTGCCAACATGAAACCAGTACACAGACTGCAAGACAATGAAAATCAGTTTAAGTTCATGTTGTTACTTTAATGACGCTTAAATGACAGTATCTGCAGTTTGGAGCAAAAAAACAAACATTGAAATCTTGGACCTGCTAATAAATCCTGTTTGTGGTACATGTTGCATAAAATGACCCTCTACAAGCTGAAACATTAAACATTTAGTTTTAAGGCTTTTCACAGTGGCCGGAGTTGATTCAGGAGTGGTTTGGATTGCAACTTTACCTGTAGTTTATCCTAGTTGTAAATAAAAATTAAAAAAAAGGACCGCTTTCTATCACTTCAAACTATGAAAAAATACAAACCTGGGGATCATTTTAAATAAAAAAAAAGCTCAAATTCTATCAACATAAAATTGGTTTCATTTTTTTTATTACCAAGAGGGGTGCACAGTACAATTTAGGGGGGAAAAGCCACGTTACTTGGTTAATCTGTTTAAGGCTGAACTTGAAATTCATCTCCCAGGAACTTACCGCTAACCACAGAAATGGATGGTAATGGAGAATTCACTCTTAAGCCATCAAATACAGCAAAGAGAGACGGGTACTACCCCATGTCATGTCTGAGAAGGCCACACACTGAAAGTGTTGGAACTTCCATCTTCATCCTTCAGAACAGACTTCAGTCAGGGTTCAAACGGAGACCTCGACCAGCAGAGCCCAAGGTCCCTAGATACGTGAATCGAATTAGACGTTTTTGATTCAACAAAATGACAAGCAGCATCAACTATGTCAACTATTCAAATGAACTTTATTTGAGAACTCCCTTCATTTGACATGTTTTCTAAAAAAAAAAAAAAAAAAAGCCTCACAAACAACAAAGAGCTACTGGGAGCCACTGGACACACCACTCCACGTTCGCACATCTCATCACTCGCGTCCCCCAGAGTCTTCAGCAGGTGTCACCCACATCAAGTACACACTTACAGATCAGTTCAAGAACATGAAAGCACAAAACATACAGCATTCAAATCAGATAATATAAGCAAATACATGAATTCAGCACAACATTCCACTACAATTTTTTTTTTATTCTGAATTTGACAGACATACCCAAGAGAGTAAGGAAAAACTTGCCAAGATTTAAAAAAAAAAGGAAAAAATCTTGACGTACTAATTAAAGAATGTCCATGTTAGGGGAGGCGCTCGCTCGTAGCATCTGCAGCTTCCACTCACACACTCAGAAAGCAGTCAGATTTGGGCTCTTTCACCGCACAACCAGTCCCGTTTCACGCGTCTCTCCGTTCGCTCACTCATTGCTTCACTCTTCGTCACAAGCCATCCTCAATCGCACTCATCAGTTCTTAAAACGTCAGTTGCGCAGTTCTTTCCATGTAAAAGTGGATAAAAGTGAAAACACCCACCGTCTCTCAGAACATGCGGAGTGAGGCCGTTCTTTGATGGCATTGCATTTACAGGTGGGAAGAGGGAGAATGATAGCGATATCACCCCAAGAATGCTGCCAAAGAGGAGCTTCCTCACAGGGAAATGGAAGAGAGGTCAACTGCAGAAGAGATTTCAATGAAGGCTTTTTCCACAGAACTTGACTGCAAATAAAGTTGCACTTAAAAAAAACATTTAGGTTTCAACCAGATTCTTTCCAATGCAACATTGCCTTTTAAGCTGATGGCAATGCCAGATAAGGTGAACCGCAGACATTCATGCATTTTCAAAAATGGTATCACATTTCACAATGCATGCATTAGAGAATCCAGTTGAAATGGATACAAACAAAGAAGACATCAAACATAGCACTTTAGTCAAAGATCCTGGTAAACAATTCACTTCAACGCTTCCTAAATTAAATTTTTAGCATTTTTCCCCCTCCAAATCTACAAAACATCTTCCACAAAGAGTTAACTTTTCAGACACGCAGCAACGCCAGAAATAAATTTTTTGAAAAGACTCATCTTTCTCACAATACTTACCCATCGAAACACTTAACTTACATACCCCACCCAGACGACTTTGACTCCATGCTGGACCCAAAACCCGAGCTAAACCCACTACCACCGGCTGCAGAGTTTGACCCTGTACCCCAGCCGAGACTGGCCGAGCTGGTGCCGTAGTTGCTGTTGCCTGCATTGAAAGACTGACTTTGGTCCCTGTTAGAACTTGTCCCACTAGAAGCGCTGCCTGAGGAGGATGACTGCTGCTGGCTAGCCAGCATTCCCATCATCCCCCAACTACTTTGGAGAGCAGCCTGAGCAGCAGCCATCATAGCGGGGTTCAGACTGAAAGAACCAAAATTAGCTAGGTTACTGTTGGTGCTGCTCCCCAACCCACTGCGACTGCCACCAAACGCCTGAGCTCCAAAACCATTTCCGAACCGTGTCGTACGATCGTACTGCCTATTTCCATGTTTGGGCTCAGCGTTTGAAATGTGAACACTGACTCCTTTGACAATAAGGTCTTCTCCACAGAGAGACTGGGCAACCTGTAGAGAAACAACATGAACCTGGTCACCACGGAATGGGAAATGCTAAAATACAAATCTGTCTCTACACCTTTAGCATCCTTACCTGATCGTCTGCAAATGTAACAAAAGCAAAAGCACGGAATGGCTTGGGGATGAAGACATCTGTGACTTCCCCATACTGCATAAAGAACTGCCGCAGGTCATCTGTGGTCATGTCTTCTGTGCAACGCCCCACAAACACTTTCCGACTTCTTAGTGGCTCATCTGGACCCTGCTATGAACAAAAATCAGGTAAATCTCACATGGCTGAGTTATTCTATGATATTTATCCACAATTTATACACAAATGCATCACCATATTCACCTTAGAGTTAGGAAGTTTGCAGTCACACCATCTTCCATCAATCATATGACGCTGGGCGATCACCTTTTCTTGAGCCTCGTACTCTGTGAACCTCACAAAGCCAAACCCTTTAGAGTTTCCAGACTTGGTGTCTCGTTTCACCTGAGAACAAAATTTGCAGTAAACATCAATTGTGCCACATGCAAAACATTTCAAATGTGTGGCCTTTAATTAAAACGGTTCCAAGTGGTACCTGGACCATAATGACTTCTCCAAATGTGCTGAAGTAGTCTTTCAGGTCCTGTTCACTTGTTTTCCAGGGAAGACCCAGCACAATCAAGTCAGACGTCTTCATATCCCCCCTCTTCATCTTCACAGCAGAAGAAGCATCGATTTCATCCATTTTTCTTTTGTTGTCTAAAATGAAAACAACAGAGTTAATAGCATAAACTCTCACCAAAAACCCAGTTGAGGTTCTCTGAATATCTAATTGTCAGGATATTTTTCATCAATAAGGTTTTGAGAAACTTTATATTTGATTTGTTTATAGTAGTGGTGGTCAAATATTTAGAAATGACACTATTATTTAACAATACATTTTTTCCACAATTGGTTTGACGTATAAGGGTGAGACAAAACTTGATAAATGCATTTAGATCATTAATGCTAACTGTAGATTTGTGTAAATTATAAAAGTAGCAACAAGTCGCCAAAGTCAGCCCATCATGACCTGTAAAAAAAAATCAACATTTTTGCTGAACCTACAACAAAATTCTTGAGCTGCTCATTCTGTGAATTATTATAATTCTATGGAAAACAAATTTATCATAACATTAGACAAGACCTTTAATCAGGATATACAAATCAACATTTAACGTGTGCAAAGACGAGTACGATAAAAAATTTAATAATTTTGAATAAGAAAAAAATAACTAGTGATAAGGGCATAATGAATATATAGTATTCATTTAAAAAAAATAGTTAAAATAAATCCCAAAAATGTAATTGGAATATTGACTTGCAGCAATGTAAAAAAAACAAACATTTTGGCTATTTTAAAAACTTGACGGGATATTTCAACATAAAACAAGTGAAACTAACATTACCATTGGTGACTAAATTGTATATATCTAAAAGATGACAATGAGTAGGAGGAATTGTGATTTTCTACAATATCCAGACAGAAAATGTTATGGTAGACACATTTTAAGGCTTTTTTTAAAAATCTCAAACATTTCTTTTTAATAGTTTTACACGTGGGACTTAGTTGGAATTTTTTTTTGTTGTAATGTTATTTTTGATACTTAAAGAGAAAATTAGTTATTCGTTTGATTATCTGTCGTCGCAATCAACTTTGGCGGAAACTACGTCATGAATAATAACCCGAGTCCACCTGGCTGGGTGAAGTGTTACATTTCAACCTTTTGAACCTTACCTTTTGGATAGTTCACCACATAAACCACGTTTCCCCATCCGTTTTCTGGCGCGTGCAGAATCCCCTCCACCAGGCGCACACCGCGCATGCACTGAGACACGGGGCTCCTGAAGCGTAGGCCGCACGCGCCTGGAAACTGTGCGGATACAGTTGAGAGCAGGACGGTGCCATCGTCCTCCGCCGGGATCTCCATGGGCTCCTCGTTCTCCTCCTCCGCCACTCGAATGTACCCCTCGGCCATTTTATGAAACCAAAATTATAACTTTTTCTGAACTGAATCAGCGCCGCAGTAAGCGCTCCGCTTTGCCTTTCTGTCTCTTTGTTCGCTGCGACGGAGATTTGTGTCACGGCAGACGACACCGCTCCGACCAATGAGGTTCTTAAGCTAAAACCGCGAACGAACCTCCACACCGGTAACAAACTGCACTAAAACAATTCCCTCAACGTAATTTTCGCAATCTGAATATGTTAACTAACACTAGCAAAGGGTATGTGGGAGAACCACGTGAAAAATAAGAAATCTATCGTGTTTAAATATTTTTTTTTCCACGAGGCAAAACATGCAAGGCCTGACAAAATGGCAGCGAACTGAAGAAGGAACCTTGTCATTGGTTAGGACGAGATCATTTCATGGGGGTGTTAACGGTTGAGAATTCTCATTACTATTTTTATACAACTTATAATTAATCAGTAAACCATAAATAACCATATATATAGATGTATATATATATTCATGTTAAAATATAACTCTGTAGAAAACGTTTCAGCGGACAGTTTTAATATTTTTGCACCCCCCTTCCTTTTTACGAGTCGACCAGGCGAGATTTATCCTCTTCAGACAGCTTCCGGTTGATGAGCCTTTTCGTCTTGACTGGCCAGCATAGATATAAACACTAGATACAGCATTGATGCTATCGCTATTGGCGCTGACGAGCCGTAGGGCCGCCATCTTGGAACGGTCGACCG